ATCCTTTCCATCTCTTAAGATTCTATGATCCTAAGTCAAGTTCTTCTACTCAGTTGTACAATGGTGGGAATTGCACACCCAAGATGTGTAGCACCGTTGGTTTAAAAATGTGCAAACAACTGTGTTTTGTTGTGAACTTCCCCGCCTCAACATGTTTTTCTCCCCAGCACTAGGAATGACAGAGAAGTTCACAAACTACAACTCCAAGGTAACTGCTAAGCTAGCAAGCATGGCACAGAGCCTGCGAGCAGAGATGGTGGAATGTTTAAAAATGTGCAAACAACTGTGTTTTGTTGTGAACTTCCCCGCCTCAACATGTTTTTCTCCCCAGCACTAGGAATGACAGAGAAGTTCACAAACTACAACTCCAAGGTAACTGCTAAGCTAGCAAGCATGGCACAGAGCCTGCGAGCAGAGATGGTGGAATGTTTAAAAATGTGCAAACAACTGTGTTTTGTTGTGAACTTCCCCGCCTCAACATGTTTTTCTCCCCAGCACTAGGAATGACAGAGAAGTTCACAAACTACAACTCCAAGGTAACTGCTAAGCTAGCAAGCATGGCACAGAGCCTGCGAGCAGAGATGGTGGAATTATTAGGAGAGGATGGTGTCTTCTTATACCCTTCACACCCTGTCCTAGCTCCCAAGCATCATATGCCCCTGGGGATGCCCTTCAATTTTGCCTACACAGGTAAGAAGCTCCCATTCTTGCTTGAATTATTACTGTGGATGTAACACTGTTTGGGAACGCCGCCACTGATAGATAGAAGAGGACAATTTGAAGACATACAAGTCTTATGTTATCATGGGGAAACAGAGGAAGGGGTGGAAATGGATGCCCAGAAGCAAGTACCATTGCAACAGTAGGCATTCTGATGTAATTAAACCTGAATGAACAAAGGGTGTGGGAACTCTGGTTGCTCCAGACACTTGGAAACTGATGTGGAAGAAGAGCTTTCTAATTAAAGCAGCTATGTCCTGTTTCAAGGTTCTGTGTGAGCCTAAAACTAAAGAGGCTGCTTTAAGAAGTAGGCTCATTCAAGCAAGTCCTTTTTTTTTAGGCTGCGCAGAATCCTGGAAAAGGAAGTGGCTGTTTTAATGACAACCTATCCTCCTGGGAGGTCCGAAGCTCTGCTTAGTGAACTGTGTCCAAAGTGGCTGTAGATGTAGCAGCTGTTAGGGCTCCAGGGAGGACCTGAGTGTTTCAACAGTGCCTCCTCTGCAGACTGTCTCCAATCCAAGAGGGTTTCTGATAGCAAAGTGGGTAGACACACTGGTTCCCTTCAGCCTTTGGGCTGTTGCAGATGGGAGCTGGGCCAAAATATTTGGGGTTGCCTAAGAGTTACTGCACATGCGGCATGAAACTTGATTTCTTTGCAAGTATACACTTCTCCTGGGCTTCCACGTACATCCAGAGGAAATGCAGTCTAATGTATAATGCAGTCCCACAGCTCTGCTGCTGTATTCATTGGGGTCCCGTGGAGAAAAGAACTAGCCTGGCTAGAAATTATATCTTCAGTACTAATCGTGTAAGAGTATTGGCAGTTTCTGAGCGAGCAGGAAGGATGGTTCAGAAGGTATCTTAGAATTTATCAGAAACTTCACCCAGGTGAGCGCGATTGAAGCCCTCTTTTCTTCTTTTTCTTTGTTCCCATCTGGGTTTGTTATTTCTGCCATCTTATTTTTTGTTTTCTGTTGTTTCAATGTTTTTAACCATTTGTAAACCACCCAGAGTCACTGGGAGTTGGGCAGCATACACATTTAATCTGTCGTCGCCGTTATTATTATTATTGTTTGTACCAGGGCAGAACTCAACCCTCTTGCAACACTGCCCTCTTAGAAGAGACTTAGATTTCCTCTGATCTCTAGCAGTCCTCAGGTCTTTCATGCTGGATGCTGGTTTATACAGTATTCCTTGCATTCCTGCTTTAGATAAGTCCAACAAGGAAGGCTGGAATCTTCCAGCTGTCTGTATCATGACATCATGTCTAAACAGCGATAGCGAGCTTTTTTGCTCTAAAACCACATTGATCTCATAATCCTGGAAAATCCCTTTGGAAGTTTCAGTTGTTCTGACTGATTTCTCTTCAAATGCTTTGTTCTGGTTTTACGGAGAAGTGCTTCTAACCTCTGACCTCTCTGCTGTCTGTTTTCTTTTAGCCATCTTCAATATTCTGGGCTTACCAGTGACCCAGTGTCCTCTCGGCCTGAGCAAGGATGGACTCCCTTTAGGCATCCAGGTGGTGTCAGGACCCCAGAATGACCACTTGACCTTGGCCGTGGCACGATACTTGGAGAAGGCATTTGGAGGCTGGGTTCCCCCTGGCCCATCCTAACACGTGTTTCCTGGGACCTGGAGGCAAAAGAAGCAGAACGCTCCCCCATCTGTGAAATCTAGGGCTAGGTGTGTGTGCCTGAAGTTTCGAAGGGCCGTGTCACCTTTCCTCACCCATGCAACCCAAGGGAATACATATGGGGTAATGAACTTGTCCACCAAGTTAGGTAATTTCTCCCATGCAAGCGAAGCTAAAAGAATGAAGGAGTCAGCTGGCTCTCTTCTCTTTGACTTCCTTGCTAGATTTAGGGGAGGATGGTGTCTCAGGGAAGGCAAGGCTGAGAGCAACCCTGATGGGAGTTGTGAAATGGTCCTTTTTCCCCTTTCGTATGCTGTTTTTGACAACAGCATTGGTAGAGTAGGATTGGTGTCCCCTGCTTCTACTATTTTCTGCTGCTTAGAAATCAGTTTAGACCAAGAGGGATTTTATGGAATTGCATTCTTCTGCTAGAAAGAATAGGAGAAACCAAGGTTCCCAAGTCCCTCTCGGTTTGCACAGAGAATGAGAAACAGCCCTGGGACCAGACAGCTTGGCTTTGCTTCATCTTTTCATGGACTTCTGCTCAAGCGAGGGTTGAGATTGATGGGAGCTGCCCCGGCAGGTACCAAGCCCACTGAAAGACACATATTGATAGGCTCAAGAAAACTTCTGGTGGAGTCTGATGTGTCTCAGTGCTTCTGCCAATGCACTTCCTGTTCTGTCGCTATGGGATGGGGGTCTTTAGAATGGTGAGTCCGAGCCATGCTTTGTGTTGGCGAAATGACTTTTTCCTGTTGATGCTTGATCCTTACTGCATTGCACCCACCACCCTCTGGATTGGGCTGCCTGCAGTGGAAAACTACGGCCTGTCAGTCAGTTCTCACGGGCCCAATAAAATGAAATATGTGTTGCTGTCCTGATACGTCAATAGAATGTAATGTATTGTCTGGCACTGGAGATCTGTAGTCTTGCTGATTTTTATTCGTTTCTAACCCCTGGCACCTTTGAACAGAATCTCATGCTATTACCTGTCATGCACGAAGTGGCCAAAATGTGCTCATGGATGAAGATGTATGTGCCCGTTCTCAGCTCTAGACCTGCATGAGAGTGTCCAGATGCATTTCCAAGACCATGTCACCCAGATGAAATGCCATCCAAACACTGACCTTTGAGCATTTCACACCAGGGGAGGCAACCTTCACAGGCGGGTTGGCCCATTTGGGATTTTGAGAGCGCTGTCACAAAATGACGGCCAGGGTGGGCACGGCCAGCCGTCGACCGCCTGCTTTCCAGAAGCCAAGCTGCTGATGTTGGTCACTTTGCCAGCAATTGTAACTGACCCCCTGCACTACGTCTTCTGCCATCGCTGCTGATTTTTATGGCTTTTTTTTTCTAGGCAGGTGAGCACAGTCCAGATAAAACCATAGGGTAGAGCCAGCCATTTTTAGTTTTTAAGAATTCCTAAGAGGGCCATGATTATAAATACGTAGTGTGATGCTTCATAGCATGTCAGTTTGCTCTTTTTAAAATATTTTTAAATTAGAGTCAAGTGGAGTATCCCCTGACCAAAGGATGCATTGCCAAATTTTCCAACTGTGAGAACAATTCTGCTAGGCGTGGTGCTATGACCTCCATATTATGGATGGAAAATGGAAAATAATGGCTTGCTTGCATTTACAGGGGGGCTGTAGCAAAATGAATTTGCTTGGGACTTGTAGATGAGTTTCCACCTTGTTTTATTTTGGCTGTGTTTTGTTTCCATGGAGAAGCAAGCATGGAAGGATGCAGAATCTGGCTGGCTTTTAAGGTGCTATGGAGCATCATTAATCCTCTCGTGCTTTTAAATATTAATAGACTCTAATGAAGCTGAATTGCCAACCATATGAAATACACTCAGCTCTTGCAGTCCTGTTACACACATTCCATGTTTACGGTGATTCATAGAAGATACATTCCTTTGCTAAAGCCTCAGGTCACTTCATACAAAAGGTTGAACACAACAAGTCTCCCTGAGGGAGACCAAAAGGAATATCCGCAAAGTTCTTTCAAATGATTGATTGATTGGTTTAACCATGTTTAAAGCCTGCCTTCATCCTAGCACGCTCTGGGAAAAAAGAAGCACAGACAAGAATTAAGTTAGCAGTAAAAAGCAATAACAAAGAACAGTAGCTGAAACTTCTGTGATAGCCACCCCATCTAGGGCCTGTGGTGGGCAGAGGGAATGGCCTGGAGGGAGAGAAGGAAGAGCCGCTACCAAGCCAACAGTCAGATAAAAGAATCCCATGTTTGGTGCAGAACTGTAACCTGAGAAAACGTCTCAGACCAGACCCTCCCTAGCTCTCATGAAGATAAAGGGGGGGGGGAGTGCATTCAGACTTGCAAGATTCTGTTACTATATCTTTATAATAAACATAATATTGGCCTGCATGACTTTGGTTTCCTAATCTGGTCTGCCTTGAAGGGCTGACAGGCCAAAGGTGTGTTGGAATACTACTGACTTCACCTGCTTGCAAAGTGCAAGAAGGCTGGGGCCAAACACACCTCCAGAGGGTCCACGTTGGTAGGAATGATGAGAGGGTCAGTCCATTATCCTCTCCCAATACTGCAAAGCCAGACACAGCATCCTGCCATCTTTAAGCTCATTCCCTGAACACCCTACACAGTCCAAAAAGTGACTTACAGATCAGCAGAAGACACTAGTCACGAGAAGTAAGTCAAGCACTAGAACAGCAATACCTCTGACCAAAAGAATGGGATGGGCTGATCTCAAGTTTAATGGATGCTCTTTCAGGAAGGGAAGGGCAGAGCACGTTCTGCAGCTGTGCTTCCTTGGCCCGTAGAGGAAACCAGTGGATTTCCTTGCTGTGACATTCTTCGTGTGATGCAGAACCCTCATGCCACGTTCTAGATGCTGGCAGAGAGTCTCCCTTCAACTCTCAAAGTTTCACAGTAACTCCAGTTGGAGCCAAGTGTTTTTTTTTCCCTAGTGGAATGTGTTTCTTGATGTATGTGTCATTCCCAGGGAGAACCAGGTCCTTTCTGACCTGTTGGACTCCAAGGGTTTTATCCCATGAATCTGCCTTCCCCAGTCAAGAAGCTTCCATTAGTGTGGGATCAAAATTCCCATAATTCCCCCTGATGGTCCTGCGACAATAAGGGTAGTAGTCCAATCCATCCAGAGTGTACGAGTACATTACCCAGGGTGGGCTTGTATAGTTCATGAGAAGGTGATGAGAAAGTGACTGAAACTTTTGAGTGCTGGAAACAGGCCAAGCCCCCCCCAAAAGATGAAAATAGTTTCACCGAAATGAAAGACACCCCCCCCCACAAAAAAAGGACACATAATTACATTTGCTTAAAATGAAATAGGTGAAGTCTTCTTTGGCTCCTGGTGACTTCATGAACGCATCCGTGCAGTTCCTATATGTATTTATATTACCAGTGTATCTAAACAGCTTACAACAGTAGGAGAGTAGAGTGCCATTGCCTCCTTCCAAAATGTTTTTGGACTCCCAGGTTAGCCAGTCACCTTGGGATTTCCTCTAGGTCTCTCATCCAAGACCTAAACAAGCTAATCATGCTGAGCTCCTGAGCCCAGACAAGTTCAACCAACTCCTGCCATCTGCTGAGACAACACGTATGCCTATAGGCACCAGTTCAGAACGCATGCAATAATCTAAAGAGAAACAGTACAATCTCACACAAAGAGACATGGGTATTTATTCAGCCTGTTAACCAGATGATTGGCAGCTTCAAAGGGCCTGCTCTCTTTTGAACTGGACTTCAACCAGACCATCTTGAATCAGAAGAGCCTTTAAACGGGACAGTTGACTGTAAAGTAGGGTTCGTGGTCACTCTGTCAGGGCTTCTGAGGCTGGTGGGCATATTCAGAATCTTGCGAGCTTGAGAGACATTTCGTGCACTTGCATGGAACGGCTATTGTGGTGGAACATTGCTTAAGCATGACATATGCTCAGGAATGAAGCTGTGGCTTTGCTTGCAATATCTGGAGAAAACCTCTCTGTTCTAGAAGCTCAACACTCTAAGGCTTCCTTTGGACTTGGAACCAGCAGACTTATGGTGAAGTTTGGAGCGAGTTTTCTTAGATATTCCCCAGGAATTGGCTTTCCAACCCCAGCACTGGGCACACTCCCAAAAAACCCTGCCCTGTTGCATGTTGAGTCCTAAAGAGTTCAACTAGTATTTCACATAAATTACTGGCACGCAGAGTAACTCCTCTGGTGGAATTGATTGGTGCATTCTTGTGCCTTCATTTTTTTTCCTGCTGGTGACTTAGAAGTGATTCCCGGAAATAAATGAAAATAGAACCAAGACAATGGCTGTTGTGCTATGGACTGTATTTTTGCTTCTTCTGGATCACTCTTTCCAGGAAGGTAAGTCTGATTGCTTCATTCAGCCAGAAAACCTGGCCAGGTTGCTTGGAAAAGGACTCCATTCTGTCTTCATAGCACCTAATCCAAACTGGTGGTTTAGCTAGTTCCCCAATCTGCTGATTTCCAGGTGTTTTGGACTACACTTCCCACCAAGTTCAGCCAGCTTTTTCCCGAAACTTTTGTGAGTGGAGAAAGAGGATTTACTTCTATATCCAATGCATTCATTCCAGTTCCAGAAACAAGGAGAGGATAATATCCTGCAAAGCGGCGGGCAGTGCAGTGGGTGGAGTAGACGGAGTAAGGAGACCGTTTGCTCTAACGCAGTGTTTTTCAAACTTTAAGATGTGTGGACTTGGACTTGTTTTCTGGCTGAATGAACTTGGCAACTTTAAGATGTGTGGACTTCAACTCCCAGAATGCTGGCTGAGGAATTCTGGGAGTTGAAGTCCACACTTCTTAAAGTTGCCTAGTTTGAAAAACATTGTCCTAACATCTTTCAAGATTTGAAAGATCTACTTGATGACATTTAAGTATTTTATTTGTAAGGAAAAAGAGAGGAATAGCTTGTGCTTGTGAATAGAATGCTGAACAACTTCAGGTCTGAGATGTGCTTGTAACTCAGCATGGAAGGATTTGAAAACTCTAATTTCTCAGGAGGGTCTTTCTGAAATAACAAGGATTCAGCCTAAACTCTTCACCCTCCTCTACAATATGAAGGTGTTCTTGTTTTAGTGCTAAGTATCATGCGCCATTCAGAGGGATGGAACTGCTATTGCCTCAATTTTTCCTATTTAGAGAGGGGGTGGTTGGGGTAATGTTAAGCATTGTTTTTTTTAAAAAAAAAATCATACCACACACTTTCCTTGGTTGTTGAATTAGTCTGTTTTCTGGGGTTGTGTAACATGCTGAGTCATAAACTAATTGAAGCGATTGAGATTTCCCAGCACAGGAAGCTGAAAACAACTAATTAAAGTTAAAACTAAGCAAGGTTTGCACGTTCTATGAATGCAGATGCAAGATCTTTACCTGGCCTGGCTAAGTGTGTTGTGAAAACCTTAAAGAATGTTGGCAGTGTTGTTGAGAGGGGATTCCTAGGCAGGCTACCAAAAGAACCTCAGAACCATGTATGATCTCCAGATTGACGGTTACTCAGTGTTTCTACACTAACTTTCCTCAAATTAATGTTCTTCAGAAAGGTTGACTTACAGTTAGTGTCATTCCTAGCAATGTGACCAGAGGTTGTGCTTGGTAGGGTTGATGGAATTTGTAGTCCAACATTCTGGAGAGCACCAGGAGAGACTATTAATAGCATCTCTTCAAAGTTTCCAGCAGGATCTTCTTGCCCTAATCCTTCTTGTAGATGTCAAAGGTTGATCCCAGGATCTTCTGCATAGAAAGAGGGTGTTTTTTCTCTACCCTGAATGGACAAGTAATGAAAACTGGAAAAAATAATTCTGAAAGGATCATGCAGAGCCATTTTATTCTTTTTAAATAACACTTTTGTACTGAAGTCCCATCTTCCATTGGCATCATATTCACATGCAACAAATTCAGGACAGCAGAAGTTTAAAACGGTGAAGATTCCGCTCCAATCCTGTGACATGAATTCCTTGTGTTTTTGTACATGAAAACAGCAAATGGGCTGGGGATCCCTTCTTCTTCCAAAGTTCTTAATTATTTCTTTCATTCTAAGGGAATCTGCTTCTTCCACCATGGAATGTGATGCTAATTTCGGAGAATTTTTATCCCCGCCTAATATGGCAGCCAACCCCAAATATTACTGACAGTATTCGGTATGAAGTGGAGAGAAGTAACAGGTACAGAATTATCTCTCTTTTTTTTTCAGCCTTGGAGGACTGTGCCGGTCCAGATGTACTTGGTCTATCAACTCATCCTCCATGACTTTGTCTGTTGGCCATGCTGGATGGATTTGATAGGAGTTGAAGTCCAGCAATATCTCGTGGATAGCAGATTCTTCACTCCTACTTTATCTGAATACATAAAGCTTCCTTCTATAGACCAGTGATCCCATCAGCCCAATTTGGTCAACTGGGAAAGCTTAAAAATTGAATGAATGAAATTAGCATGTCTCTTTGTTATGTCAATAGCAGATGAATATAATCAAGATCCATCTTTTTTGTTCTCTGTACAGCAGATAAATGCTTGTGTTTTTGTTCAGCAGCTCTAGGCTGTATGTACATAATATTTAACCCTTTCTCTGCCTCCCCCCCCCAAAAAAACAAAAAACATCTTCATGGAAGTTACTAAATTTCAGTGCCTGGTTTGATATGCTGCACTGAGATATAACCAATGACTTTCTCATTTGTTGCTGTCAAGATAAAATGAGGAGGCACCTTTGTATAGGTTGGGTTGAGTTCCCTGAGGAAAGTCAAGATATAAATATAGTATAATAAAAATAATGACTGAATCCTGACCTCCAGGCTTCTCTGGAGTGGAAAAAAAATGGTAATCCCATTGTACTTTATGTCTTCTGCTTCTAGTAACCGATCTTCTCCTATGTGGATCAAAGAGGTATCATGCAAAGGAAATAATCAGAAAGAGACTCAGAGTTGCCAGCTTCACCTGCCCCAGCTTTTCAGCACCTACCATGCCAGGGTGAGAGCCCGGGATGGATCCATACTTTCTGAATGGGCCAAGTCAAATGGGTTGCAACTCTACAAAGACAGTAAGAAACTGTTTTCATTGAGGATTCAAGCAAAGACATAGAGGGGGGAAGAGAATGTGTATGATGGTTCATGGGCCACATCCGTACAACATGCTTAACCTGGGTGTGGGAAGGCTGGAATAGGCAAGGAAAGAAGCAGGGGGCCTGGGACCAGACAGGTCCATTTCTATAAAAATACTCAGATGTCAATCATTCCTGACACAGAGTAATGAGTAGCATGCACAGGTAGCTGAAAGACATCAGAGCTGAACTTTGAGACCGCGATCTGCATGGGTTGGGTCTACAGCTTCTGGAATCTGTAATAAAACTAGCTGATCAAGAGCTTCGTCCTTGAATTTCTGCCTGCTAGTAATCTGGGTGAAGCCTGACGGATTACTTAGGTAACCAATTTCTGGGTTTGTGCTACACACCAAATCCTAAACTTATTGGATGGGCTGGGTTTGCACAACTTGCTAAGCCACAAAACCTTACCCCAAGTTAACACTAACCAAGTTTTGCGAGCATGTGGGTTCATCTGCCAGATCCGTCACTAACCTCATCAAGCCTGTTGTGGAAACAGAATGGGGAAAGTGGATTGGGAAACTTCTTTTAGCCTGTTCAACTCTTTCTCTTATAAAACTGTTTCTGTGAAGAGGAATGATAAAGGATTAAAGACAAAACAAAGGAAGCATTTATTCATTCTTTGTATAAATCACATGGTCTAAAGACCACCATTACCTCTGGCCTAAAGGGAGTTTCCATATTAGTTTGAGATGGACAGATGTGACTTCCATCACAGGTTAACAAGGGGGATCAGGAAGGCTTGGACTTCCTAACTACCCCTTGCAATCTCAGTCCTAATTGAGCCTCCCCTCCCACTCTGGGTTTAAAACAGACCCAGACACATTTAATGCAACTTGACTCCCCCAACCACATTGAACAGAGCAAGCAGCTTAGCATTGATGTTCAAAAGATGGATGGTGATGGATGAAGATAAATCCTGCTAACTGCATCTTTCTATATCTTCTTCCTGCTTCATAGCTATTATCGGTCCCCTTGTTCTTTCTCTGACTATCACAGAACATACTCTTAGTGTGTCGATTTCTTTGCCCCCGACTCCATTGAAGGAAAAGGACTCTTCTGTGATCTTGTCTCTTCTGAAAGTTCTGCTCACCCTCCAGGGAGAAGATGGAAGCACCCAAAAAGCAATGGTGTGTAAAGATACATTACATCAAATCAACCCACCTGGAGTTGTTGCTGGACATTGTTCCCATTGCCTTGAGTCAGCAGCTCTTCTGCTCCCAAGCAATGAAGATGCTGAGTTATTTCATTTATTTATTCCTTAGAGGTATATACTGCCTTTTGTCCAAGAGCCCAAGATGATGTACATAGGACTCCCTCCTCCAGTTTTTCCCTGGAGTGACAGCTCAGTAGCGTAGGTTGGGCCAAGAGATAGCAATTGGCCCAAAATCATCCTCTGAACTTTGTGGATCCAGGTGAAGTTGAACCTGGTTCTCTGCAGTCCTAGTCCAACACCTTAACCATCATCCTATTCTGGGTCTCCAGTCTTAGGGGCTTTTAGCTTTTGAAATCAGCACTCTGAGCCATCCTTCTTTAGTCTGGTGCCTTCTTGGTATGTTTTATTGCAAACTCCATCACCTTTTACCAGTATGATGGCTGAAGCCAATGGCAATTGCAGTTCAGCATATCTAAAGCACTCCTTAATGAAAATCTCATTTGCCCGAGAAGAGAAAAATCACTAATGCAGTACTTGCTGATAGTTAAACCGTGCATAAAACTGCATGTTTATGTCTTTCTAATGAAGCAGAAATATTTAATTGTGTACAGACCATCCTACCTCAGGATTTCTAGTAAGAAATTGAAACGAGAAGTAGTGCTGATCTCTTGTTGAGTGTTATTTCTAAATTTGGATGGCCATGTTGACATCTATTTCTCCCCAAGATGGCTAATGAACTTGGAAGAGACTTTTGGAATGCGAATTTGGAATACACGATGAGTTTGGAGCACATCTTTCACAACATGAAGCCAAATACCAATTACTGTGTTGAAGCAGAAGTGATCAACCACCCAGCCAAGAAGGCTGTAGAATGTATGCTAATGCCAGGAAGCCCAACAAGTAAGAATGGTTGAGTCTCTCCTATTTGATGTCTTTTCCTGAATTCTCTTCCTGAAGTGTAAATCAGTTGGGTCAATAAATTATGGACTCTTGTTTGATGGAGAAAAGTGCAAGTCATGTTCTCCTGAGATAGATTCCCATAATGCAAATGCATCACATTATTCTAATAGGACAGGGCATTGTTTCTGAACTTGTTTGCAATATTTGAAATCAGTGGTTTGCCAGTTGCACCCCTGAAGTTTCTGCTATTTGAAAGATTGGGGCATGAGTTAGTAACAATAATAAAATCATACAAATGTAACTACCCCAAAAGTGTTCTCCAAATGAAGACTAGATGGTTCATGCTGAACTGAAATTCCCAGAATTATTGGTGCAAGGGCCAGATGTAGCTGGCCTACAGGTTTTTTGGGGGAAAAGTCTCTTGTCCTCAATTCTGGGATAAGATGCTACAGAAATATGTTTCTTCTTCTCAATGTTCTTCATCCCTTTATGCTCTTTTGTTTTCTCCATTTTTCAGGTAACTATTGGACAGTTTTTGTTATTAGCTTTGTTACTCTGTTTGGGGTCATCCTATTGTCTGTGGTTGGGAGAACCTTCCTTAAGCCCTACCTTCACCTAAGTTCTAAGGGAATGGACTTCCCCAAGTCACTGGTGAGTGAAGGGTGATTGTTTTGTTCAATCCAAGCATTAGCCGATGAGCACTGTATATGAAGTGCCTGTATGACAGTTCTTGTATTTAATACCTCAAGACAGGCCTTGGCATCTAAAGCTCTTTTGAAGACACTAGTGGCAAACAATGGTATTATAACAGGAGGACCTTGGGAAAGAAGTCCAGGGTTCCAATTTTCTCAGGAGAGAAAAACCTCTCCCATACCCATTCTCCATGGTGTACTGGTATGTGAGATGGGGTGAAGAGATGCTGCCTAGGGAACTGTCAGATAAGAAAGGGCTTAGCCCACAGCTGCATAATGGGAAGAGAAAGAGGCTCAGAAGGGACTCTTCCTAGCTTCTCAGGCTGTAAAAGAGATGGCAGGAGATTTGTATTTTCAGATTTGTAAGATTCTGTTAATGTAGCCTTACAATAAAGTAAAATTAGCTCAACTGGTTGTGTTTCCTGTCTAGTCTACCTGGGAAGGCTGACATCAATCTTGCAAGTCTGAAAGTACAAATCTGCCATCTCCTTTACAGCCTGAGAAGCTGGGGAGGCTCCCTTCTGAGCTTCTTTCTCCACCCATTATGCAGCTGTGGGCTATGTCCTCTCTTATCTGACCGTTCCCTTTGCAGCACCTTTTTGCTGTCTCTCAAGGTTTTTCTCACATACCATTACAACAGGCAGTACCTCGAAGAACAGTATACCTAAAGAAGGACTTTAGATGAAATAATTAATGTCCAGCCAGGTCTATTTGGTAGCAAGTTGCTTTGTATTCCCCCTAACTGATTGCTCATCTCTTTTTCTACCACAGATATTTCTACATGAGACTTGTGTTTCAAGATGTGTCTTTCATTTAGAAGCTGGTCCCAGCATTTCTCTGTTAGTGGTGGCATGGCCCAATAATCATAGCTTTCCAACAGAACAAGAAAAATGCCAGATAGAATTCATTCCAGGCGGTTCCTATGCCCAGAGTTTGAGTCCTTACTGCACCAATGGCTTTTTTCAAGGCAACCCAAGCAACAAGGATGCCTCCCTTTCATCACTCTCTCTTGTGGAGACCTCCTCAGTAATAGGGCTGGTGAAAGATAAAGACCCAACAGATAAGTGCTGCAGAATTGTTCCTCAGCACCTGGAATCTTCTCATCTCCCATCTCCTTTGTCAGCAAGATTTCATTTCCACAGTTTAGGAACAGGCCACTGGAAACTCAAATGCAAAGTTGACCTCAAAGATGGGCTGGCAGAATGGCCATCTGCATCAAGTTCTGACATTCTCCTCAGTTCTTTGATATTGCAGTCTACTCCAGACATACAAAGCCTCCCATACAACCCAAAGGCTTGCGTCACAGTGGAAAATTACCACACCTATCTAGAAATTGCAACTGAAGATGACAAAAAGTTGTTTGTCTGTGAAGAACACAGTAGGTTCTCTAACATCAGGGAACATCCAACGGGCCCCAATCTGGAAGTGAAGAGATCAGAGATGATAACTTTCCCTGGTTATGACTTCCGCCCACCCATTCCTTCTTGTGATTTATAGTTCTAAGTTTTATTTAAATAAATATTTCAATGTTTTTATAAACTGCTTCTCTCAGCCAATGCCTTTGCATAATGGTGTATCTCAAAATATATAGTTGTTTATGGTGATACATGAAAAGGGCTCGAGAAATCTGCTATAGCTAAGTCATAGGCAGCCTTGGTTGAAAGGCAACAGTGAAGAAAGAAGGTGTCAAGACTCACTGAGATACCTGCTCTACAGCAGAAGGGAATACATCTACTGGAGCTTTGTAGCAATATGGCCACTACCAAGAAGGCTTGGTTTCCTCTGCTCATCAGACTGATGACCATGGGTACCAGATTGGGGAAGTCTGCTGAAGGCTCCTGTCTGAAGATGAGTGGGGTCAATGTTCAGGTGGTAGCATGGGGATTTTGCATACAGCTTGGCATGCAGAAAGATAATGTGTAATGTGTAATGATCTGTGGGAATGACCTTGGGAGATGGGAGGAAGAGCTGCAGCCTAGGCAACAGTCAGATGATGTGATGGACTGGAATGGAGGAAGGGGGGTGAAAACGGTGCTCTCATCTCCAGAGCCACGCTCTGGGGATAAGCAGAGAAAGCTGGGGCGTTCCTAAAAAAACCCGAAG